GACTTCATTGACAAGAAGGCATATATGTTGGTTTTGATTTACCAAGCATTATTCATATAATTGACCCATCAATTGACACATTATTACATGCACATTTTTAAAATTATTTTTTTGAAGAAAACATATTTTTATTTCTTCAAAAAAGAATATTTAATCAACAAAGAAATACAATACTTACATTTTGAGTACCAAAAATATTTACAATGAATCTTGATCCTAGAACATCTTTGGCTGAAAGTGAAGTTGCTAAGATTTTGTATCTAAAACAAATTGCAAAAAAATGCCTAATGGCTTCAATGATGTGCCTCAAATTGTAAGAATTTTAATTAATGAGGCTCAAAATGAATCTACTTAGATTATAATACCACTAACAAATATACCTCATGTTACAACATCAGAAATTAAAAGGACTCGTGGATCAGATAAGCAACCACAAAAGAAGAAAGCTATAACATGTGGTGATTTTAATATTGTTTTTGTAGAAGTTCCTACTAAAATTATGAGACCATCAATTAATAATAATATGTCCATGCACATTATACCTTCACCTCATGCAATAGAAAATCTCAAAATTAAGAGGCAAAAAATGAAGTTGAATACAAAATTATCTATTCTATATTGTACTACAAATGATCTTTGAAATAGACCATCTAATATAATAGATAAATCATTTGCATTCATGATGGTAAAAGCTCTTTCTTACAAGAAAGAGAATCTTGAACTTCAAATCATTCAAGAAGCAATGCATTGCTCTAACTAATTAAAATAAAAAACTACCATCAAGGAGGAGTATGCTTCTTTGTATAAGAAGAAAGTCTTTGGTCTAATTGTAGACACTCTTACTTCTTGTCTTGTGGGATATAAGATAGTATTAGTATGCAAGCGAGATGCTAAGGGTTAAATAATCTACTATAAAGCTCATCTTGTTGCTCAAGGATTTATCCAACAGTTTGATATTGATTATAAATCGACATATTTTCTAGTCATAAATTCAATTATATTCTGATATATTACTAGAATAGTAGTTCATGCCACCTTTGAGATATGTCTAATGGATGTGGTAAGTGCATATTTGTATGGTTCATTTGATACAAATACTTATATGAAAGTTCCACTTAGCTTAAAAACAAGAATTTCAAATGTACCTGCTCAAAGACAATATTAAATTATACAAGGTCCTATATGCTCTAAAATAATCCAGACGCATGTGGTACCAACATCTTTGAGATTATTTAATTATAAATAAATTTACAAGTGATCTGCTAATCCTTTGTTTATTTATCAAATGAGATGAAATTAGTTTTGTGATTATTGTTGTATATATGGATGATTCTAATCTAGTGGATATTAGATCTATATATGTTGTAGCTATTAGCCTATTTATATGTGAATTTGAGATGAAAATGGTAGGAAAAACAACTCTCTACATTAGTCTTTAGATTATGCATCTCATGGATGGTAGCATTTTTTTCTACTAATTAACTTATATTAGACAAATCTTATAAAGATTTAATATGATTGATGCTTATCTATTATCTATACCAATAGTTGGACATAGTGATGATTTTCATGATCCATATCGTCCATGTGAGAAGGAAGAAAAAATATTAGGAGAACAATATCCATATCTTGCAATGATTGAAGCACTTTTATATTTAGCCACATCTATAAGACTAGATATTACATTTGCAGTTAGTATTCTTGCAAAACATAGTATATATCCAATATTACGACATTAGAATGGTATCAAAAATTTATTATATTATTTAAAAGATACAAAAGATTTGAGATTATATTACACACAATCTATAGATCCAAAATTAGTTGGATATTCTGATACAGGATATAAATCTGATATTATAACAACTAAATTTCAAAAAAGCTATGTATTCTTAAGATATGGAGTTGTAATATCATGGAAATTAGTGAAACAAACTATAACTACAACTTCATTCAACCATGCAAAAATTATTACCTTATATGAAGCATCTTAAGAATATATTTGATTGCAATTAATCAATAAACTCATTCAAACAACTTATGGACTTTCATATGATGATTCTCCAACTATCTTATATGAAGATAATAGCGCTTGTATTGCACAAATGAAAATTGGTTTCATTAAAGGAAATAGGACAAAGCATATTGATTTAAAGTATTTTAGTTATATCCACGTTTTGATTATTGATCAAATACTTAAGATCAAAAAAATTGAATCTACAAATAACCTTGCTGATCTCCTTACCAAAGTTCAATTGAATGCGTCACTTTATTATAATTTATATTAAAACTACCAAAACAAAGTGATGGATCAATTGAATAATGTAGTTACACTTGAACTCATGATAGCTTCAGAACAGCGACTCTGTCACGGCGGGTGAAGCTCATCCCATGTCCCAAACATGGCCTCTTTTTCACGATCAACTGCTTCACTCTGAAGATATCCGCCTTTGAATAAAGAAAACCTGCTGAAATGATAACTCGGATACGAAATCTGTTGTTCTAATTTGAGTATCTGAAATGAAGTATTTTGAATCTTCAGATATTTTTCTAAGTTTTCGTCGGTGTGAGTCTATGCCGCAGCTTCCCTTTCAGTTTGCGCACAAGAAGGATGCTGTTGACCTTATTATAGCAAGTTAACAAGGACCGTTGGAGGTTACTCCACGCACAAACCCATTTCGGGTCATAATAAGAAGAATGTAATCATAAAAATACACCTCAACAAGTGTTCTGCGCACAAGTGTTTTTCCTTCAAGCCTTGCAATTTCCAGTTCCATGTCAATTTTATTAAAATAAATGCCTTGACCGAATCTGAATAATTTTAAATATATAAACATTGATTTGCATTCTGAAAGCTATGCGTGAAGTGCAAGTGAAAGCAGCTGGATGTTGCTGCAACGATCCCCAGGATATATCTATAAACTGTGTTGCAAATACTTTTCAATTTGTTGCGCAAAATGTTCAGACCTCCTAGTGGACAGGAAGGAATTGCCTTTGCTCTTTCGGTAGCTCGACGAAGATATTCAAGTGTTCGGTGTCAGGCAGCACTCCAGATGGCGTACTCTTCGCCCAGCGAAGGTGCCATATGGAGCAAGCCTGAGAGCAACCGGGCAATGGCTCTGATTGATACCAGTGAGTTGCAGTAGACGAGACCGGAACTCATGCGCATGATCCTCGATGCAACCACCGCCTTCCACTGGAGTTGCATCAGTCTGACTGATCTTGAACACGTGAATGAATGCTCCTCATCCTCCTCAACGTTGGCCTGATTATGGTTTGCGAAGGGAGGAAGAGCTTGGTGATGAGATGACAACGTAATCAAGCGGGCCGCCACGGTTTTTTACACTAAACTTTGGTCCTGGTGAGCAAGGCTTCTGCACCTGATGATCAGAAGCCCAATCAGCTGTTCGGGGCAGTTGTGATTCTTCGACGTTTTGATGGTTTGTCAATGTTTGCAGGAAAAATAGCAACAATAAAACACCATATCTTTGAGGTGAAAACTGGGGTCAACAAAACTTTTTCTACAGGAGTGTGAAATCTTCAACATGGTCGTGATTAACATTCCTTCAACTGCACCACCTAAAGCCAATTAATAAAAGATGGAATTGTTTCCTCTTTTATGAATGATTAAGGCCAGTACCCTTTGATGTCTACTATATTAGGACATGGAGATATAAATGTTTTTAATGTTATTGAGAATCTGAAATTGATAATTTGTAAATTGATGCATATCGCCAAAGGAAACTCTTTGAGCAGTTCCAGTAAATATGTATAATATTTGATATATATTTTAATGAATCATAATAGATATTCACATATTAAATTTACATTTGGAGCAATATCATTCAATACAATAATAGATACTTCAAAAAAAAAACAAAAAAAAAACAAAAAAAAAAAAAAAAAAAAAATTCATAAGTCTTATATGTCAATTGTGTCTATCATTGAATTTGTAGCTATCATTGGTGCTTTCAAATTTTAGATTTTTGTGTCTGATTCAATATATAGCCACAAACTCTTAAGTCTCATATGTCAAGTTGATAAATCTAAAATTAATCAAAAGTGTACAAAGTTGTTATACCTATATTTGAATAACATATAGGTATATTTTTATAAAGACTTGTATAGTGCCATCTTGAAAAATAAACAAATGTTCACAAAAAAGAACACGTCTTAATGGAAAATCTATCATGGGAATGCCATCAAGGCAATTCAAAAGAAGACATAAAGGAAGATTAAGGTGTATATTGTAATATAAGAGATGGCATTAGTAGATCTTTAATAAAAAATCTAGAAAAAAATTACAAAATAAAGATAACTTAATTTTTCATTTAATAATATCTTATTTTGAATACTTACTTAAAAGAAGTTATTTTAAAAGAACCAAAACCTTAGAATACTAAGGAAAATTATTCATCTATTTTATTATATTCACTATGTATAAAAAATAATGGCATTTAAATTAATAATCTTAATAACAACCACCTTTTATTGCTTTATTTTTACACTAATATTATTTATACTATTTACAAACAATCATAAACATGATAAAGTATAAAAGAAATATTATTAAGAGCACTTGCATATTTTAAAACTTATTTTACATATACAATATCATTGTTATTATTTTTTATTATTTTTTTAATAAAAAAACTATACAAATTTTATGTACAAAATTTTGCAAAAACTAATTAATTTATTTTATTAAGGCTCTATTAAATTTTTTAGTTTTTTCTAAATCTATTTGATAAAATTTATTATTATTAAAAAAAAGATTATAATTCAAATTCTTCAATTCATCTATATTATATGGTATAGCTAAAAATATATTATGATTAAAATTTATAATGTTAATAATTAATATTTATTTTTACAAAAAATTAATCATATTTTCTATAATAATCTCAAACTTACTTTTATAATGTAGAATTATTTATGTAAAAAAAATCAAAACATTGTCTAGAAGTGAAGAAACATGTATAACAGAAAAGAAAAAAATCACCCAAAAAAGAATCTAATTTAATTTATTTTAAAAAAATTAAGTAACTAATGATATACATATTTCAACAAATATTATAAAAAAGTATTGTTTAGTCTATTCAGACTTGCTATATTATTAATTTTTGTAACAAAAGAAGGCCCTCATTACTAGTATATAAATGTTAGCACCATCATTATATCAATGTGAGACTAAAAGAAAAAATCTTTTAATACTAAGATTCTAAAATCTTTGTCCAAATCCTACTTAACAACCTCTTCATAATAAAAGTTGGAATCTTTTAATTTTATTATTATTCTAGAACAATCAAATAAAAGAGAGTTTTTTCATATTATTTATTTATTTATTTTTACTATTATACTAAATGAGTTTTAAATCTTAATCTGATATTTGGTTATTTATTTTTATATAGGTCAAGGGTGCCACTGTACAGTTCGTCGTTCACTGATTGGAAAGAACTTGTGGACCTGCAAACTTCTGCCCAGCCTGCTGCTCGCCCGTTGCACATGGGCACCGCGTGGGCAAAACTAACACAAATACAAATAATGTGAAATCATAATCCATAGTCAGCATCTGGGGAGACTGGTTACGTTACTTTCAGGCAGGTGTCGGGTTCATCTCCGGCCACTTGCACGATAGGTGACTCATATAATGTGTCTGTTTAAACCCCTACTCTCACCCCTTGACCTCTTCGCCTTAGCCCTCGTCAATACCCCCCATTCGTGTTGTTTTTTCTCAAAAAATCAAAAAGATAATCCACGGAATATGATACATCTGATTTATGTCCTACAAACGATGTCTTCAGAGTCTTATCAGCAGATGCAGTTACCAGGTAGTTGCCTCTCCGGCACCAAGCCAAAGACGTCACTGGTCGTGAATGCCCTGCGAAGGATATTGTGTGTGTTCCATGTCCCTGACTTGGGAACACCAGCGAAAATACTTGTTTCTGCATCATCCGAGGCAGTGGCAATGAGGTTAGTAACTGCTTCCAAAGTTCTCCGTAAATGTCCCACACAATTGTTGAGTAATCTTTTGATGTTGTGGTCAGGCGGTTACCAGTTGGACTCCAAGCTGTGCATGTAACCTCCTTTGTGTGACCCCCCAGCGTGCATAGTTTCTTACCCGTTTTCCCATCCCAAATCAAGGTGGTACAATCCGCGGACGTGGTTGCCAGGTAGCCTAGGCTACTCCAAGCGACGCATGTTACATCGTCAGAATGACTTCTTAAAGTTTGTACGACAGAACCCGTTCGTGCATTCCAGATTTTTGCGGACTTGTCTGAAGATGCACTTGCTATCCATCTTCCACTGACATCGTATCCCACGCAATTCACCGGTCCTGAGTGCCCCTTCAATGTCATCTTGACTCTTCCTGACAGGTTTTGCTTACGGCTTTCGTAAAACTGTTTGACTTTCTCGGTTTTCCAATCACTTTGCCAACGCAAGCTCGGAAGACAACCCGAAGGTTTTTCATGAGAAGGACGGTATTTAATCTCCCAGATAATAACAGTCTTGTCTTTAGAAGCAGTCACTATCTCATAATCACCAGGACTCCAGTGGACAGAGGTGATTGTTTTTGAATGACCACGAAACCATCTTCTCTTCAGAGTGAGCTTGAGCAGGGATCCGATTTCTGAATATACTGCCTCCGTGTCACTCCCCTCTGCCTCAACGGAAACCGACGCATCCGTGTCTTCCACCTCTGATTTGGACAAATCCAATTCATCATTTTCAGCTGTGTGTGCACAGGGGTGAGTTGATCCATCAGTTCCATCAGCCTCGTCATCACCTTCACCTGTATCTGGTAACCTAACTTCATCTTGTGCCCACCAATTGGGGATTTCCAACGTGTCTTTCTTAATCATGCTGTCACCAACTCGACTTAAGCTCTACAAACAAGCCAACCCTATGCTTGAACCAGTTGCATGTAATCTTAAAGTAGAGAAGAAGAAGTTACGTACGACAACAATCTAAGCATGCAACTCCCTCGAAGTTATTACCAAAGTCGTATTTATTCCAACCATGTGAGTCTTGAAATGTCAAGATTCTTACCTGGTCTCCATTCGAAGGAGATGGATCGGGCATATCATGCGAATGTTGAATGTCAATATTCTTCAGTATTTCTTTCACCTCATCATGTGCAAGAGCGCACTCCTCATCATTTTCGTTCCATTTTAACACATGCTGTAAGGCAACAACAGCATCTGCCAGTTGATTACTTCTAGCCAAGGATAAAGCCTTGCATCGATACTCCTGTCGACGTTGCCGATATTTTTCGGTTTGCTCGGGAAACATATCAAACAGCCCCCTCCTCAGATTCACGTTGTCTACCATAATCGTCAAGTCTTTGCTCGGATCGTGAGGATCTCTAATCATGTTGTTATCGATAATGGTCCACCGACAGTAAGTATGGCCGTTGGTTGCCACGACCGGATCAATCATCAGCGTGTGCAAAATAGGATCCATGAAGTCATCGGAATATTTTGTGATAGCCTCCTCGAGACTAGTAATGGCGGCCAATATATCTTCCCAGAAGCTTCATTCTTAGCTTTCGAAGCAGTATCACAATCCATGCGACCAATCAGCGTGGTCAATACCAACTTGACTTCTTCCATCGAATGCAGTGGTGTTACGTCTGACGAAGAACCATGAGATTGTGTTTCCGGGGGATTGCACACCACCACTGACATAATTGGCATGTTCACGTTGTTTTGCACAGAAGTCAAAAAATTTCGGACCAACGTTTCCAACTTACCCTTCCTGTCAGTCGATTTGAGGACACGGAAGAAATTTCTATCTGCAGCCCACTTCTTTAGCTGCTTTGTGGCTTCTTCGAGGTCCGACTCCAGTTTATTGAGCACAGTAACAGCAACACCAGTACTCTTGCGATCCTTCAAAGCTTGTTGAATACTGGGCACATGCTCGCTGTATTCTGCAATGAAGTCCTGCAGTACTTTCACCTCCTGTTTGTTTTCCTGGTGTTGATCATACATGTTCTTCAAGGCCATCATCGCCGTCACCAGTTCTGATACCGATACAGGGGAGGCCATGCCGTGGGCTGGTGAATTGAAATGGGATTCTAATCAGCAAGGTTCGACAGCAACCTGGAAGTGTGAGGCAGTCTTCGAAGAATAAGTTTGCACTCATCGCAACGAAGCAAAAAGTGAACACCATAATCAGAAAAGTTGCGAAACAACTGTCGATTAGAGATAGATATTAACCAGCGTTGCACTGACGATAGAGTTTGAGCACTCATGTCTCAAGAGCAATGCAGTATACGAAAATTGTAATCACGCCGACAGTCTGGAATATTTACTTCTTTTAAGCATGGGGAGTGAGGACACCCGAAAAACCTTTAGTTCTATCTCACCAGCTTGTGATGAGGGGAGGCTAATGTTCAAACAATAATTAAAAAATTGAGTAAAATTAAATAAGAGACATTTTGAAGAAAACTGATGGTAAAAATTCAGAAATTTAAGCACACAAGCATTACACACCTGACGAAACAGTGGTCAACTTGGCGTCCACCAAAGATTTAGGCCCTGGGCACTTCCAAGCTTCTCGAGCACAAGGTCGGATGTGAAGCCCCAGATGAACTACTTCTGACAAGATCTCCCACCCTTAATACTGTGGATCAACTACGATGCAAACACTCAGCTAACATCGGGGCTATGCACTAAAACAGTTTCGATGCACCACAACGCTTGCCACTCCCTGAGTCCGAATGATGGTGTCGGTCCGTAGCCAAGTCCTGGGGTGCTAGCAAGTTCGTCTCTTGTGAAGACAACCGACAGATAAATATCGCAAAATCCATAGCCTCGTCATTGATTGTATAATCTAACATACGCGTCTCTGATTGCCCTTCCTCAGGAATTCCCGTCGAGATTTCTTTTTCCAGGATCCTGGAGTATCGCGTGACTGATCGTCACGACCCCATTGCTACGTATTAACACACACCACGTGTTTAGAATTCTTCGTGAACACTCGAAAGCATTTGAGCTTAAAACGGCAATCTACAGATACCTAGCATCACCGCAGAGGGTGCTTCAGAATCTGCTACACTAAAAACCGACTATTTCGATTGCCAAGATGTCGCAATGTTTTATTGTTTGTCGTTTTCACCGACTGCGATAGCATCTCACGTTTTCATTTCTTTTCAGAATATGAGCTTATGCAAGTTCATATAAGATCCCTCTACGACTAGTGTGGGGCATCCATAATGAACGGTGCACGATGGTTCTTCGGGCTCCACCAAACTCTAGCAGCTTCGTCTCCAACATCTAGAAAACAAGGAATCTAGAACCCAGCATGGGACAACACAGCCTTGTGTATGATTCCTCGCGGGGATGTTCCTCCGACCTTCGCAAACCTTGAATACACGCACATCTCCGCAACATGGTTGACTGAACTATTCCAGAGCATGAATTGAGTGGAGACTGTCCGTGCAGGATTCGTAGGTGAAAAGTCAAGGAATTCTGGCACATTCCAGCTGTGGAGACCACAGCCGAAGCTGAGGGCCTGAAATGATCTGTCTGTCAACTGACTGCAAGACCATGTTTGTCGATTCTCTGTGTCACGAGCATGCAGGTTTGTGTGCTTCGAGGAAATTCAGATCCTCGATTGTTGCCCAGCCGATTCCCATTTGCAGCATGCGGAAATGCTTTCCTTTGCAAGTTGCCATGGACTTCAGAAGCAGGTTCTAAGCTGCGGGTGATTTTTTTACGTTTTGAGTAAGCCATTCGTGACATTTATTGTAGGAAGAAGTGATAAACTTTAGGTGAGAGAGAAGCAACGAGTGATATATAAATGGCGCATTCGAGCCTTTCGAGAAGTCTAAATTTCAGTGTCATGTAACTGGAGACTAGATTTTAAAATGTGAGATATCTCTAAACAAAAAATTCAGTCTTTTTCCAACATTAAATAAATTTTATATATATATATATATATAGAGAGAGAGAGAGAGAGAGAGAGAGAGAGAGGGGAATGTTAGACCCAAGTTTTTATTAAATCAATTTAGCCATGATGAAGAATATGGGATTCATGATGAATGTGGCTTGTTTTTATTGGTTTTAGATCCAATAGTAGAGAAATGAGTCTAGATGTCATTTTGTTTTTTCCAATGGTTATGATGGGTGGATCGATTTAGCAAAATATTGGATCTATTTAACTTTCTTCTATATATAAATATAAATATTAATATATTATTTTCTTAATTTTTTTTTAATCTCATTTCAAAAATTAGATTAAATTACATTTACAAAAACAAATCAAAGATGATAATTTTCATATTTTTTTAGAATTTGAAGGTATAATTGGTGTCTATTATTTTGGCACCATTGATCCAAGTGATACTGATCTTAAAGTATGTTGGATTTTAAGGATTTTTTTTTAAAAAATTAAAAAGTCCATACCAAAAACCATTAAGCCTCTTGAACAGAATAGAATGAGGCTTGTGATGTATTATATGAAAAATTTTAAGATTTTATGTTTTAAACTAATCTAAAATCAGTTATTGTATATTATTTTAAATTATTTTTTAATTTTAACAGTAGCAATAAAGTATTAATAAGTATGGTTTTGCTAATTTATATAAGAAAAAAAAAAATTATTTATTTTTACAATCACATAAAATAAATTAGGGCTACAAATATCTTAGAGATGATTTTAAATCTTTTTCAAAACTAATAAATATTTATATCAATCATATTTTGTAGGTTATTTTTTAAAATTAAATATTTTTTAGATTGAAGTAAAATATTCTAAAACTTATTTATAGATGCAATCTTCATTTCGTACAAACTAATTGTTTAGTGGATATGAGATAATACTTATTATTGAATAAGTTATTATTATTTAATGTTAAAAGATAAACAAAGGATATTGGCATAGAAGCTATTCTATTCAAATATGTTGATAGAACACTTTATTTTTATAGTATAGATATATTTTTACAATGGATATTATAACTTGTTAAACCTAAATAAAATTTATATACAATAGTTTGAGGTGTTATTAGAAGTCATTTTTTCTTCTAATTTATGGATTAAAAAAATCATAATGTTAGTTATTGGTGGCTATTATAGCATAAAACATGTACAAATTTTGTTGTGCATGAAACTTTTAATAAAAAACATATAAAATGATACATATACGAATTATTTACTTAGTTTTACTTAAAAAATCATTTATTGAATAGAGAGGCAAAATTATTATATCCATCAAATCTACAATATGATATATTAGAATTTTTTATATTTTAGTCACTATACTACCTATTGTGTTGATGCTACGGCCTTAAAAACTAACATTGTTATAGTAATTATCTAATTCTTTTATAAGCACATCTTTACTATTTTTTTCTTTTAATAAATAATTAAATTATTTAATTTATAAATGGGAGTTTAAATTACTTAATAAACAAGCACTAAATTGATTAGAATAGATGATATCAACAATTTTGTTTTCTTATTGTATAGCCTATAAGGTTAATATGAGTCACACATCATTTTAATGGATTTATAAATACTAAATAGTTAAAAAATAATTAATAAAACTAAAGGCTATCAAATATAAATATATATATATATATATATATATTGAATATACTTTAAGACTTCATTAATATATATTTTTATATTTTAGTTACTATGCTACCTATAGAATGTGCTTTAAAACTTCATTTTTAAATAATTAATGATTTCTATTATATCCACTAGATTTGTGTTTCTTATCAAAACATTATTATTAGAGATAATATTGATATTAATATATATATATATATATATATATATATATGTTATTTTATATATATACATATATATATATATTTTTATATTTTAGTCACTATGCTATCTATTGTGTTGATATATGTTTTGTTATAAGTGTATTGAGTATGCATAAATGGAGCTATGATTATGCATGTATGTAAGTATGTTGGTCATATTAGGAACCATATATGAGACAAGGATTCAAGACCAAGGAATAAAGTTAACTCGACATTAAAACAAAAACTAGATACAAGGCAAGAAGGTCCTAGCTAGACCACAAGAAGTAAGTTGTTGAGATTGAGGATCCTCTTAGCCTCGACTCCTATATGTACTAGGTCCTAGGAAGCTTCTTGAGAATTTTCTATTAGGCTTGAAAACAAAGTAAGCCTAAGATCCTTCTTCAGCAACTTTTTAAATCACCTAAAGCCTCCTAGAACCTTCTAGAACCTCCTATGACCTTCTAGAACCTTCTTAAAATCTATTAGAACCTTTCAAAATCTTCTAGAACCTCCTAGAATCTTCAAGAGTCTTCTTAGAACCTACAAGTACCTTTTAGAACTTTCTAAAATCTTCTAGAATCTTCTTCAATTATATGTCTATGACATCATCTCCTCTTCTAGCTACAAGGTCTCCAAGAAGCAATGTTGTAGCAAGCTAATATATGTACAAGAAGTTGAAGATCTATCGCATGGTATCTACTATATATTCCAATTGTTTTTTTTGAGGTAAATGATTTATAGGTCCTTGTAGCCATTGATAGTGGCCCCAGCCTTTTACTTGTAATCAAGCATGAACTTTGATATCTTTATTATAAAACTATCTTGTAAACACTCCTTCTATACATCCTTCATAGGCAAGTTTTTTCTCAAACACAATTACCAATGACCTATTATTAGGTATCCTTCGATGTCTTTGTGGTTCACACAACTCTTCATCTCAAGGTCATCTTTGCGAGCTACTTGGTTGAGATGGTATGACCAACGAGGCGTCTATCTCTTAACTATCCATATCATATAAAGTAGACAAGACCAAAAGAATATAAATAAGCTATGGTCGTGAACTCAAACTATTGTCAAGGACATATACTATCAAGGACATATATTAAGAAGTTGTAGAAGATTTTAGAAGGTTTTAGAAAAGCTTTGTAGTTTGTGGAAGTTGCTTGAGAATCTTTTTAGCTTGTGGAAGCTACTTGAGAAGCTTCATAGATTGTGGAAGCTACTCAAGAAGCTTCCTAACTCGTACAAGCTGCTTGAGAAGCTTCTTAGTTTATGGAAGCTATT